GTGCTTCGCCATTTTTCAAAGGCAGTAAAGGTTTCGTAGGACCCAGTGTACCGTTTGAAAGAGCAGCATGATGAAGAGAAAGCACGTAGTCAAAACTATCCTCATTGATTTCTTTTGCATCTGTTAAATTGGAGTATTCGAGTACAGTGCCAACCAATTTTGAATAGCGAAGATCTGCACCGTACAAATTGGTTCTCGTCATGTTGCACATCGTAAAAGAAGACAGCATAAGTTTTGCTTGACAGAAGTTTGCATTCACAAGATTCGATGTAGTACACGGTTGGAAAAAATATTATTCCAGCGGGGTAACGCTATAATTTCAAATAGAAGACATAATGAATTTTATATCAAATGAAAGCTCGTCAAAAATGGGGTTTATTGATACTAAATAGTGAGGCTTGTAAAAACTTTCTAATGTCAAACTTAACAAGTTTTCAGAAATTTTATATTTTTTTGGGGTGGAAAATCAAGGTGCCACTGATTCAAAAATGAAGTCAATTATTTTCTTGAATATTTTTACATGGTTCGATAGACCTCGTTGAGCTCTACAAAACTGTGTATGTTAAAAAAAATTTGAGCCATCTTTTTGAGATACAAAGTTCAAAAAACTACTCGGGAAACCTCAAAAACATTTAAAAACTCTTTTTTTTTCAAATTGAAGAAACACGCTCAATTTTTCAATCAAAGTAGCTTTTTTCGTTGTTTTTACTACCTCAGACGTCTCGAAATATACTCGTTCGATGCAGTGTGAAAAGCTGCGTCTAATGAGTATGTTTCGAAACGCCTGACGGAGTAAAAACAATGAAAAAAGCTACTTTTATTGAAAAAATAAGTGTTGTTCTTCTACATGAAAAATATGAATTTTTTTCATGTTTTCTAAGATTTTCCAAATAGTTTTTTGAATTTTTTATCGCAAAAAGAGTGTCTTAAAAATTTTTTAATGTATACAGTTTTATAGAGCTCGACGAGCTCTATCGAACCGTGTAAAAATATTCAAGAAAAAAATTGACTTCATTTTTGAATCAGTGGCACCTTAATTTTCCACCCCAAAAAAATATAAAATTTCTGAAAACTTGTTAAGTTTGACATTAGAAAGTTTTTACAAGCCTCACTATTTAGTATCAATAAACCCCATTTTTGACGAGCTTTCATTTGATATAAAATTTATTATGTCTTCTATTTGAAATTATAGCGTTACCCCCCTGGAATAATATTTTTTCCAACCGTGTAGAAGACGATGTATTAAGGGTGTGAATGTGGGGTGTCGATGAAAAGAAAAACAACACACACAGCCACAGCCACACTCCACTCCCACACCCATACCCACACCTGCATCTACACTCACATCCACACCTGCATCTACACCCACACTCACCGGTGATGGCATTTTTTTCGATGCATTTTGGATTCAGAACCAGATGTTCTATGCATAGACTCTTATTTTTTTCATGTACATGGTAAATAGAAATGAAGTGAACAATAAAGACTTGAAAGGATTACAGTTGTTTGTCAAAACATTCATATGAAAAAAGTAAAACTTTAGACATGTGCAACGATTAAAAGAAACAGTCTGTTTACTTTTTTTCGCTTCGTAGTTGTACGTATAAATTGATTCACTATCTATCCTTGCCGCCATATTTATTCTGGTATCTATGATTATTGTTTGTAATGAAATTATATCATTGACTGGTCAGATAGAGAGACTATTTCCGATGTCATCCATTAACAATATTTTTGAAGAATCCATACATGGCGCACCCTAAACAGTTACCCCGCGACACTCGCTTCCCAGACATTTGTTCTCGCGACACTTGCTCTTCGCCGACAGTTGCTCTCCGGACACTTGCTCCCTACCGAAAGTTGCTCCCCAAACACTTGCTCTCCAATGATACTTGCTCCCAGAACACTTGCTTCGCAGCGATAATAGCTCTCCGAACATTTGCGCCGCACTGTCACTTGATATTGAAGAATGTTGTTTTTGTTGGCAAGTTAAAGATAACTGTTAAAGACTCAAAAACGGGGTGTGGGTGTGGGTTAGAGGTGTCAGGATTTCCCTTTCTATAAGGCTCCGGCCCCAAGAAACGAACTCACTTGAAGATTCATTTCCGTCTCTTTCTGGTTGTATTGAGGCTTTTGAACGTACTTATTCTTTCAATCTGAATCAAGTCGATATGAGTTCTCGGGTTTCTAGGAGCGAAACCTACATCGGGTTCCGAGTTCTGGGAACCCGGAATCCACTTGAAAATTTGTTTCCATGAGTTTTTGATTATATTGAGACTTATGGACGCACTTATTCTTTCAATCTCTATCAAAGTCGGTATAAGTTTCCGGGTTCCCAAGAACTAAACCTGTACTGGATTCCCGGGAACGAAAACCATCAAGGGTTTCGAGTTCTTGAGCATAGAACCCATCCCGAATTCTGAGTTTCCGGAAACGGAACCAGAAACTGACACCCACACTGTGGATGCGGGTGTGAGTGTGGATGGTATGGATATGGATGAGCTATGAAACATCCACACCCGCACCTCACCGACTCCCACAATCGCACCCGCACTCCACCCATTCCAACACTTACACCCCGTTTTTGAGTCTTTTACAATTATCTTCAACTTGCCAACAAAAATAGCGTTCTTCAATACCAAGTGATATTATGGAGCAAATGTTCGGGGAGCAACTATTGCTAGGGGGCAAGTGTCATTGGAGAGCAAGTGTTTGGGGAGCAAGTGTCTTTGAAGAGCATGTGTCCGAAGAGCAACTGCCGGTGGGGAACAAGTGTCACGCGACCAAATGTCTAAGGAGCAACTGTCTGGAGTGCACCATTCGTCTTACCATCTTTGAATTTGAGTTCTAGTGCGGTTGATCAACAGTTTTTGAGAGTAATTGTAGAATTGTTATTATCTTTGCTACTGACCATGACAGAGCTGCCAGCCTGACAAGACTGAATTTTGAAACTTTAGCCTGGCCTGATCTGTCCATACAATATTCAGCCCTACCTGCAGTGTAGACCAGGCCAGCCAATGTTGGTGACTTGAAGGGGATGTAATATTAATTTCCTTAGTAGCCAACTTGAAACATGAAATGTGACTGCAAATTGAGCTTTTCTCCACTAACTTCGTCATTTATAATTGGTGAATAGTCTATTAGCTTAACCCTAACACGACCATTTTTAAGGCATCTACTTGTTGTCCGGCTGGGATCGGTGCGGACTCCAATCGATAGAATACGTGTAGAACACGAAGTTGTTACTAGTTTATCATGGACATATGAGAACTCTAGAGAAGACTTGGTTATAAAAAGAACAAATAGAAAAGCAGTTAGTTTAAATTATACTTATCTATTCTTCTTTTATGGTCTTGTCATTCTCTATTTCTGAGATGTTTGAAATCGTGCATCGCTATTCAAAATTCTAACACACTTTGAACTACCCTATCATAAGAAAAACAACGGCATATGATTGACTGATGTTATCAATGTGCTGTACTAAGGATTTCCAGTCATAGTCAGACTGATAGAGAGCGACGAGATCAGATTTTTTGAATCTGAATCCGACAAAAACGGAACTTCTGGGTCTGGGCCAAGGAGGAAAAGCGTACTTCTGTACTTCAGAAGTACCAACAAGTACGAAGAAGGACCAGAAAGTATAGAAGTACACTTTTTTCCCCTTGATTCGGGCTCAGGCTTGAACGGGTACAGATTCTGAATTTTTTTACTAATATCTGGTAATTTTTTGTGTACGTGACCAAATAAAGAATCAAGATTTCAGTTTTTATTGATTACTCTCAGTAAAAAACGTCACGATGGTTATTTCTTGTTGTCTTCTCTCACATTGTTCTATTCGGATTCGAAGCTAATACGAATCAAGTCTGAAGTTAAATCTACACATGGATCCGACCAGATTCAGGTCTAAAAGAACCCACAGCTCTCAACAGTTTGGCAGGTGCCTGCCAAGCCACCAGATCAGGCCAGACTGAACTTTGAAATTTTAGCTTGATCTGCTCTGTCCATATACTATTTAGCCTAGCCTGATCCGCAGGCAAGGCCGGAAAAACGTGTCCTATTGGTAGCTCTATTGTAAACTAGCCGTAGCTACGACGGACTTTATTGACGAATGTGTCAAATTTACTGTTATTATTATTGAATAGATGGCACAAGCACAAATTCCAATTTCATGGTCAAACAATGCTTTCAAGCTTCCTCAATATCATCAGCCAAAGGTGAGTTAAATAAGACGGTTTCTTCTGTATATTTCTCTATGCAGATGAATGGGTGGTATAACGGAAGGGGCTCGTTAGATAACTCTAATCGAAATCTATCAACTCGAAAGCGACAGCAAAAACCATTTAAGTGAGTCTATATAATATCACATACTTTCTTGTTGATATATTGTTTTTGTAGATGGTGTAATAAATGTTGTCTTTCAGTTGGATTACTGCTTAGATTCTTAGTGATAGTCGGCGGTATTATTGGAGGACTAAGCATTGTTGGGCTTGTTACTAATTCTCAAGATTCTCAATCAACAACAACAATAATAACAAGTATGCGCAGAATAATCTTGCTTTTACAGATATCTCGTTTCGAACAGTGAAATCTTTATATAATACTTGAGCTATTAATGATTATTCAAATAGGAATCACGGTGAATATTTGAGACACGCGTACATGAGAGACAAATTGCATTCATTGCTTATAACATTGTAAAATTTTGATCATCAGGACTATTTCTGATCATTTTCTTCACTGATTTATCGAGTAGTACTACCATTGAATTTGAATGTATGCGAGACATCTTCTGATATGTTTGTAAGCCCATTTTAATCATTGTTGAATTAAATTCCATTTTAAGAAACCTTAGTTCTAATATCTGTTACTTGTTAGCAACAACTACTCCACTAATATGTAATTATTCCTGTGTCAATCAAACATGGATATCTTCATCGAATCTTCTGGCCGAATGGTTATTCGATGGGACTCTCGCTGATCAAACAACTAATTTCAATGCAATGCCATATAATAGCCCATCGTTTATCACAAATGGTTACGTGAATCAAGCTCTATCGTTTAATGCAGCTGCCAATCAATCACTATATACTTCATATATTCCTATAACAAATAGTAGTTTTACAGTCGACATTTGGCTTTATCCGACCGGTTATCCTAATGTAAAAGATCACAGCATTGTTGGTCTGTGTTCTTCAAGATCAACATCGATGTGTCTTCATTTCACAATACGAAATACAAGTTCAGCCTATTATCTCTATATGGGTTTCATGAATAATGATTGTTCAAGTGCTCAGACTATAACACTCAATCGATGGACTCATGCTGGATTTGTATTCGATTTGACAACAATGAAACAATGGGTCTATGTCAATGGTGTACTAAGTCGAACTTGTACAGCACAAGCACCCATCATGGTCAATAATAGCAATATTACTATTGGCACTATTCCCGTTCTTGCGGCTCCTTCGGACAACAATGTCTTTCAGGTAGATCTTATCGTTTCTCTTTTCAAGTCTTTTCGCCCTATATGTTGATATTCTTAGCCGTATCTAATTATAGTTTGTGTTCATTGGTAGTAATTATTAAAAAGATCTGTTAGAGGATATAAGAGACCTTTAGGTGTCAAAAATCAACAGTATGGCAACGTTTTACATTCATCTGAGTGATTCTTTTATGTTTCATAGGGTTACATGGATCAACTTATAATTAGCAAGAGAGCCAAATCGGCATGTGAAATTCTTGAAGAGGCTACGTTAGCTGCCCGTTTTCCGTTCGACAGTGGATCAGCACTTGTCGATTACGGACCTAATTCTGGATCATCAAGTGCCTCATCTTACTCAATCATATCGTCTGGACACTCTCTTCAAGCTATTTCATTCACGGGTTCATCTTCATCTTACTTTCAAGCATCAGGCTTTACTGCATTCAGTATAAATAATCAACCATTTTCTATCTCTCTTTGGGTTCAACCTCAGTCTCTATCAGGTTCACTTGTTCATCTCTCCACTTCTTCGAATGGTGCTGGATCGTGGTGTAACTCTTTATTGGGCTTTGCATCGAATGGTGCACTCGTTGCTCAAATATACGATGGTAGCATACAGTCTGTTACAGCATCCACCCTTCTTTCTTTGTCACCATCTTGGACACATGTCGTACAAACTTGGAGTCCGACGAGTGGCCTCCGTCTGTATGTGAATAATGTTTTAGTAGCATCTCGATCGTCAGCCACAATATTTACAGCTACTGGAACGACACCAAATTATATAACATTGGCCAATGGTCGTTCGGCATCGGGCAGTTGTGCAGCAGGAGCAATCGGTGTTCTCGGTCCTTTCAGTGGTGCTGTTGATGATTTCAGAATTTATAGTCGAGAGTTGACGGTAACCGATGTGTGCGCACTCTATTCAAGCTGACTCAATCCTATTTATTTCGTACATTTCAAAACTAATATTTTAACTTATTTATTCAGTGTGAAATGTGTGCTATTTTTCTTCAAAAGAACTAAGCGTGAAGCATTATTATTTTGAATCGATCTCACTGAACATCGATCCAGAGGTAATCCCTATAACTTTTCTAGAGCTACCTAGGGATGGTACTTTGGTTAGACCGTTTATTATAATGTGACTTAATTAAAACAAATCGGAAATAGCTTCACGTATCTGTTATTATTTTTACCAAAGATCAGCAGCCAATACTTACTTGGTTGATGTTAGATGTTAACACATCTCCTGAAACTTAGTACTGAGTTTAAGTAATTCTGTTTAACACTTCACTTGAAGTTGGGCGATTCACTGATTATCTAAACTAAATACTATTTAATTTCGAAATTTCACTTCTAGAAAACCTATTTTGTAGAAATAGGTATTTTCTATGAAGTTTGATCAAGGTCTTTCGGAGTCGACGAATTCGTTTCCTCCAGTTATCCTTCAGCCAATCAGACTTCACCATGATTTTCTATTAGTTGGCTCATCCAGAAGCATGTTGAATCCTGAGTAGCTAAGAGGAAACCTTTGCTGTATTTTTGTGCATTTCTTCAGATAAGAAAATCTTTCTATTCCATATTTCTTTTAAGTATTAATTATTTAAATCCCAAGAGTATTGACTTTAGTTTCGCTTACTGGCAGTATCATTGAGAAAAAAACATAAAAATCTTCATGAGCAAAATGAGACATAATCTCGATTTTTTTTTACGATCTTCTCCTGTAAAATTACAAACATTAAAAAAATGTCAAGTGTAATAAAAAGTCATAAAAAAATGCTTTACTTTTTCGTGATATCAATAAATTTTCTGTGTAGTCTTATGATGAAATTCTCGTACAGAGTCCTGGGATGTGGGTGTGCGTGTGCGTGTGCATGAAAAGAGCACTCTAACACCTAAACCCTCTCTTCTTTGACACCGGCTAGTTGGTCACATACCATATTAGGGTGTGATTGTGGGTTAGAGCCCATCGAGTCCGGTTCTAAAAATTATAATTCGATAGAGTCCAGGTCCGAAAATTCTTTGTCCAGATGGACTCCAGTGTGAACATGAATATAGCTCTCTTTTCTCTTTACACCCACACCCAATGAAAAAATAGGAATCGATTTTGGTTTACATTATAAAAATACGTTTCATAGATGTTTTATTTTCTTGTTAATTCTTCAAATAAAACGATAGAAAAAGATACATATTGAAAATTAGATGATTTATTTATCTATATACAAAAAAAAAACGAACATGTTTGAAACGAAATTTTTACCACCATAAATATAAATCACGATTAATAAATCTAATACAGTAATCATTAAGTAAATTTTCTGATTTAATTAATACATTCAATTCCTTTAAACATATTTTTGGTACGCCTGAAACACATAAGAAGAATAAATGTCGTGTTTTATTGTTAATTTTTGATAATAAATATCTTTTTATTTGTCGAATTTCTTTATAATTTATTCCAGTTTTTAAATATTCTAATTGTGAAAATAAATTAATAATCAATTCAATTTGATTGAATTCACACAATTGAAAAAGATCTAAATGTTTTATTTGATTTGTTTTTGATACATATTGAAAATTTTCAGTTTGTTGAATTAACTTTAAATCATTTTCGTTCACAGATATTAATTTCAATTTTAATGTATTTAGATTCGGTGCAAAACTTAATAATTTAATCAGTTCTTCAAAAGAAAAATCATGACATTGTATAGTCAACTTCTTCAGTTGTTTCAGAGGAATCATATAATCAAGAATTGTTGTAATCGAACCGTTTGGTGTTCGAGGACAACACTTTATCGTCATTTGAGTAATATTTGGAAAATAATTGAGATAAACATTTTTTATTTCATAACTATAAATCAAAATATGTTGAATTAAATTTAAGTTAGATTCTTGAACCTGCGAACATTCCTTTGGATTTCTCTCCCAAAGAAATTTATAATCCTTTCGTCTAAAAAAAAGAATAAAAGACAAAACTAACATATACTCTAGAATAAATATTCACTCTCTACTTTGAGTCTTTCAAATATATAAAAACAGACTTTTATAACCTTATTCTACAAAGCATTGGATTTTCCACGAAACTGTTGACTCTTTCTCGAAAATATTCCTAGTGGGTGAGCAGTCATTAAGAAAACATTAAATTAAGCTGAATTTCAGTTCAACTAATTTCGTTTTCGATCTCTATTGTAACACTACTGATCAAATGTTATTTGATAATTGTCCATTTACAAAAACAAAAGATTAGTGAACTATATCAAATTTTGACCGTGAAATCCGATATCTATGTTGTAGGACAGATTGAAACGAGTTTTTATTCAAGTCATTGTCTGATTTGTACAGTACTGTGAAAAATTATTGAATCATTATGTATTTGAAATTTTCAATGAAGATGAGTAGTTAGTTTAAATTCAAATAGTGATTTGAATCGTCCTTGAAATTCTTTATCGAATACAATATGTGTTAAACTTTCAAAAGAAATTTTGCCAATAGATTTTTCTCGGGGATCGTTTCAGTGAAACTTCAAGTCCTAGAAGGTTTTAACAGAAAGATTTTTCAAGAGACAATTTTAACTTTTCAAAATTGTATTCCGAATGGTACAAATCTGAAGTTTTTCTCCAAACGAATTAAAGAAGAGAATATCAGCTCGATTTTTACCTCTAAATCTGGTACAGTAGTCATTTTGCGTAACAATAAAGAAACTCGAACCTGAAAGATGTTATTCTGTCTTATTTATGTCTTTTTCTCAATAGCTTCAAAATCTTCGACTGAAATAAATAATTTATCGAAAATCTAAAAGAGAAGATTATTGGTGAACTCAGCTAGAATCATCATGAAATTTTTCATATTAAAATCGATCGATAGAGATTTTTCAAAGGCCACAAAACGTCTCTATTATTTTATTCTTATCATCACTATCCAATGAAAAAATCGAAAAATTTGACTTTTATTTAGTAAGAAGTTTATTCATGAAATATGATATAAAAATTTCAATCACTCTCTCTTCTCTTTTGACTAAGCATACTTGTACAATTAGAAAAGATTTGAACTTTATCCACATTCGGAATAGTTTCTTGAAAGATCAAGTCAACAGTTTTATAAAGAATCAAATGAAATTAAACCAACTATTATCAAATATTTAAAAAAGACTTATTATGGGACATTGATTGATTTTCTTTTCTCTTACCGATATGGATTCGTTGAATAAAAAAGTAGATCTCCATAAGGCTTTGACCAATCATATTGATATGTAAAGAACCATTTTCTTTCAATCCAAAACAACGAATCAAATCCATTTATCAAAGCATGATATCTTGAAGTATCACATCTCACTGGATTTGTATGATTTATATCAAAAATACGTAAACACGGCATATAAGATACGATTAATTTTTCCCATTGTTCAGCATTCAAATAGTCATCATATTCACTTGTTGTAAGACGTAAAATTTGAATAGAATGAAAAAAATCTTTGAAAATTGTTTCAACTTCAAAAAAACGAATATTATCCAATTTAAAAGAAACACATTTTAAGTCATTTAATAGAATAGAGGATAATATATGTCTTTCTATATAACCATAAGAGTCAACAAGAGAATTAATTGATAAATAGTGAAGTTTAGGAAGACAACATAATAAATTATTCAATAATTTGAATGGAAAACGACCATTTATTATCAAATATTCAATTGAACTAGAATTATATTTAGTAACATGAAGAAATGATGAAACGTCGTAAGTTTTAGTTTCATATTTAAATTCACAATATTTTAATGTTGATAAATTGAATAAATCAGTAAAAAGAATATCTAAAGATTCAATAGAATCATCAATGGAAATGTTTAATGAATGCAATTTTTGTAATATTGTATGCGTTAAATAATCAAGAATTTTACGTAAATATTTCATTTCTATATTATTAAGAACTAATTGTTCTAGATGAATGAATTGTGAAATTACACGGGATGATGAAAACACAATTTGAGGAATAAATGGATTTGACAAACGAAGTGATATAATTCGATGTCTATTTGGTATAATAATATCAACATGAAAACCTTCAAAATCATTTTTTGACATGATTGATATATTTATTTTATGAAAAAAATTTGAATAAGTAATTAAATTTCTAAATCGTTTATTAAGATTGAAAAATCCTTTGTAAATATGATACATATCAAAATATTCAAATATATCGTAAAATATTTCATGAGGTAAATCTTCAAGAAGAGATCTAAATAAAATAGAATAATAAAAATATTACACTATCTCAAATATTATCACTTGTTTCGATCGATTGTCATTACTTGTCAAAAAAACAAGGAAAATAAATGAATTTATTAAATATAAAAATGAAAAAGTATTACTTTCATATTTTAACTTTCGTCTTTTAATATTATTTGAATTTTGATCCATGGCATCAGTTTCTTGCCGTTTCATTCGTTCCATGCCTTCCATAAGTAAATAATTGTGGGTACAAGTGCAGAACGAGGATCTTATCAATATAGATATACAAAGAAACAATGAAAAAAAAATAGATTGACAGAAAAGCACAATTATCCTAGTGCGTATGAACCAATAGAATTGCTTTCCATTTTTTACTCTCATCCATCTATCCAGAATTTGTTTGACTTTGACATATGTGGAAACAAATGAACATTGCTTGATGTGCTAGTTGAGTTATCAGATATTTTTGAAAAATTAATTGCATATGAGAATAAGGTAGATGCTCAAGTTAAACAATATACTTATTTCAATTTGATTGATTATTGATTTCGATCTTTACAGACTCAAAAAACCTAGAGATGAACCAAATCAACACTTAATTATAGATCCAAACTTACAAAATATCTTTAAGAAATTTATATTTCCTGATATTGGAACAATACTGTTTGATTTATATTAAATTAAAGTAAAACCTATATGTTCTCAAATAAAAGATTGCAAACCGAGTTTCAATTATTTGCTCAAATGTTAAAATCAATTTTTCTAAGTGGTTTATTACCAGTTTTAAATCTAATTTTGTCATACAAATAAAGATAGAAAAATTTGATTAGTTATTTTGTAAAAAAAATATGGATAAGAAATATTTGGACTCTAATGGTCGATCATCAGGTTAGCCAGCAATTTACTCTCAAAATAATGAAGCAACAAAGCCAACACCGTTACTATATGTCGTTCTGAAAGAAATTTAATATAGAAAAATATATTCGTCCATTTAGATGCATAAAGCGCAAGTTCTTACTGAGAATCTTATGCTATAAGAAAAACATGTTAGGTTTAAAGATTTGAAATTTTTTCTTATGAAACTTTTTGAAAAATGAATACATAAAAGACAAACTTTTTTATTATTATTCAGAATGATTTGTTAATTTATCAAATATCCAGTGAATGTTGAACATTCAAATTATCTTTTTTTTCTAAGGCTGTTGTTGATAATTTACTTTCATCAAACTAAAAGAAGCGTCTAAGAGAAAAAAAATCAAAAACTATTCTTGAGAAAGATTGAAATCTTTTAGTTTGAGTAGAATTTATAATTCCGTAGTGTGTCTTGCAAAAACAGCAGACGGAAACATTTTATTAGGAATATCCGCTAGAACAATCGACAAGGTGACTTATTTTTTATATGGGATGGATGAGTGTGGGTGTGGATGACAAGAAGATCCACTCACACCCACACCCCACACCCTTCTTCATTATTACAACTAATATAAATGATCTGATAAATGTATAATGAACAATTACACCCAGCCAAAGAAACATAACAACCATTTAATATGTCGCGCCTACTTGTAATGGGGAGATATGTGTAATGGAGGGAGGATGGGGAGCCAGGAAACCTCGATTTAAAACTTACACGCATTATTTTTCTTCGAAAAGCATGTGAGTTCCACAAAAACTTTAATTAATAAATCATGCATCGATTCCTTTACCAAAACACACAGATACAATTCCATTTGTTCATTCACTTGTGTAAAGTCTAACAATGTAAATGTAAAAAAAAAAGATTGTGTTTCTTTCTTCTGAAGAAAACAAAATTAATGATGAATCATTCATCATTTCTATGTTTTCATTTCTTTCTATTATGCAATACAGCGTCTTATTTACTACATGAGTCAGAAGAATGTATTGCAGTAATTACTGATACCTATTTCATTTACAGTAGAACACATATCGATCAAGTATGTCTATGATGAAATTTGAATTGTTACCAAATGAAATTTTGATCGAATGTTTTGAATATCTTAATGCTTTGGATATTTTTCGTTTGTTTGATCAATTAAATTATCGTTTTCGCACACTTATTCGAAATATTCCATTGCATCTTAGTTTTGAACAGGTGAGTAGATCGATATTTGATCAATTTTGCAAGAAAATTTTATCAAATCCTGATGTGAAAATACAATTTTATTCATTACATTTATCAAATAAAGATGTATGTAATCAAATCAATACTTTTCTTTCCTGATTTTCACTCGATAAATTTTCTCAACTTCGATCTCTCACTTTGACTAGCGTGGAAGAAGATCAAGCTGAAAATTTGAAAATAATCTTACCATTAATATCTCAACTATCCTTTTTGCATTTGATTCAACCTAAACAATCAGTTACAAATATTCTAATTAAATATCCGATGTCGAAATTACGAACATTAGCAGTGACAGACTCATATCAACATTTAGAACTTATTGATCAAATTTCATCAGTTACAAATTTAACAATTCCAGATTGTTATTTGGATTCGTTACAGCAAATATTAAAAACAGTACCGATGTTAAAATATCTTAACTGTCAAAATATTTCTCAACGTAAAAAGTTTTGGAATCATTCAATAGAATTTGAAGATTTGAAGATGTTCATAAAACATACACCAAATTTAAAAAGTTTAATTATATCTGCTGATTATGAAAGAGAGATGATTGATGCTTATCGTTGGGAACAATTGATCATATCTTCACTTTCTCAATTAATTCGTTTTCAATTTAAATTTCAAGTTTCTCGTCGAAAAGATAATGATGATATTCTTGATAAGTTCAAACAATTTTACACTGACTTTTGGCAAGAAGAACATTGTTGGTTCGTCGAATATATCTTACGTGACTATTCAGCAGAGATTTATACAATACCTTATATACTAAATACATATACATTAACAATCGATTTGATAAGATATTCGAATAAATTAGTGAATCAATTCAGCACATTCGACAATGTGACAGATTTAATCATAGATGATCAAGGAATAACGAAAAACTTTTTATATCGCTTTTCAAACGTGATTTCATTAACATTACGACATTTAACACACAAGTGGAACAAGAATGATGATAGTTTATTGAGAGAATATATCGAATCTTTAAAAATGATTGTTAATTTATCTAATATAAAACATTTAGATATTTCAAATGATCATCGAATGGAAATATCATTGGTATTATTGGAAATCTTAAAAGAAGCATCAAATTTATCATCTATTAAAATTGCACCACTTATTTTAAAATCATTATTGGATAATAATGATTTACAGAAATATTTAAATAAAATGATTCGAAAATTGAATATATCTGGATATAGTCAATATATATTCAGTAAATCAGCTCGAATCGGCCAATTTTGTAACATATTTTCTAATATTATCGAATTAAGATGGACAGACTGTGACTCAAACAACATATCATATTTGAAAAATCGATTATCAAAATTATCTATCATAAAAATCAATTAATTTTTATCGAATACGCATTGTTCATGTTACTGAAAAGATGAAGCAGAAAACTATCAAATATATGTAACGATTCGCCTGAACTAATACTAATTTTAATGATGTTGAGCTTATATTTTGGACACACATGAGTTATGATTAACCCTGATCGCAAGCACCAATCTGATCTCAATCGATTACTGTATCATGAAGTTATACATTGAACATTAGATTCACCTTGTAACAGTTATATCTCACCTATTATAGGATGTGTATTTCTGCGAGACCTCTCATTCGAAAGTCCAACATTAAAACTTCATTTTTAATCCATTCCTCTACATCTCTATGACTAAATCGTTTTTAAATTCACTCAAGCTATCTTTTAAGCAAGCAAATTTTTTCTTAGAATTGTATCGTAACTCTTTTAAAAGATCAATGTCTTTTATTGGTTCTTTCATCGAAAATAAAAAATTATTTTCGTTAATTTTTACTATAGATAATTGTTGTTCATAACGTTCTGCCAAATCAGAAACAAATTTTTTTCCATATCCTTTTGAAAATACTTCTTCGACAAGAGAACCGTCAAGGGAGAATTTCGGGATCGAGAGGAAAATGTATATTTTCAAGATAGTAAGGTTTAAAATTAAAAATTTTTTGCAGATTTTCGTATTGCTCTTTTATATCAATACTTTTCACTTTCTATCCTAAATTCATTAAGCAATTTTCATTGATCTCTAAAATTCTGAATTAATAATTTTCTTACATTGGTTGAAAATATCGATAATAAATTTGTAAAATTCTTTGTTTCTACTGCTAGTAGCAAGCTTATCATGCAAGATGTTCGGCAAATGGCTGAAAGTAACAAAGATGTTCGTTTGCTTTAAGATCATTTAAAATCTGATTGGAAATTTTTGCTTGAATTTTGGATTTATTAAATATTTTACACTAAACTTCGATTATCGTTCTTCATTAAGATGCTCCTTAGTCAAGATTGATCAAATGGAACTTTTAATTTTCTTATTAACATTGTCATCAAGATTAAAAATGTTTGGAATATCACTTTTACACAATTTCATTGAATTACTATCTAATTGATACTTGAATATGGGATGTGGGTGGGTACGAGTGTGCGGTTCAAGAAAGCGAACACCCACACCCACACCGACAATCATTCCACCCTAAAAAGTCTAACAATATCCATAGTACTGCTGAAGAAAATTGCCATCTGTCCATCTAGTATAATCTTCAAATTATTTCAACACCATATTCTTATTCAACTGATTCAAAACATTCAGTTCATTGCTTATTTCAAAATGTTTTTCAAGACAAACTAAAGTCCAAAATTTCGCTAAAAGTTCTGTGGCAAAAAAAAGAAAATATTTATAGTAAGTGTGCGGATACTTTTGTATTTATTATGAAACGAAATGAAATGCTCCACATAATATTTGCTTGAGCTTTGACTGTTAAAACGTCTAAAGAGAGAGAACGTTATAATTAATCTTTCGATTTCGACCTAATGTAATAAATAGTTCAATACATAAAACATATTCTGACAATGAAAAATAACGTTTATGAAATACATGATGAACATAATTGTCATTCATACGTAATCTAATTAGCATTGTTATTAATTGTGATATATGATATATTTGATATCGAAATGTACGTGAATATATACTATAGAAAATTGCTTGTGAGATAAACGATATGTTATAAACCAACTAGTGCTTTCCGCGTTACAAGTTCATTTGAATTGACAATTAAAATTATGATCATAAAATAGATTAGTTGAAGATCTTTATACCATTTATTTTTATAAATTACTAGCGGAGGTACCCGATGTATGGAGATGATACGATAGCATATATCTCACGGATGATAATACAATGTTGCCACAGTCCTCAACAGCTATTCATCTGCAATATCATAAGCTACACTCGAATCTTTTCTTTTTTAATTTTAATATTTAACACATTAAAGCCGTTATAGACTTTTTTCCTTTTTACATTTTTATTGATGAACTTCTTCCAAGCAAAAAAATAGCAAAATAGAAGTTTTCATTGTAAAGCTGTTTTGTACACGATGTTCTTCGTTTTTCCATCTGGAGCAAAAACATATAAATTCTCTCCAGTTCCTACTCTCGAGCATGCCACATAAAGTTGACCATGAGAAAAGCAAGGAGTTTCTAAATTGACACCAGCAACTTTAAGTGATTGCCCTTGAGCCTTATTAATAGACATTGCGAAGGCAAGCCGTACTGGAAACTGAAGTCGTGTAAATTCGAATGGTATATCAGAAGGGAGCAAAGGTATTTTTGGTATGAATACATCTTCACCTTCTGCACAACCTGTCATGATCGTTGCTTCGATTACATGAGGCATTAGAGTTTTGACACATAGCCTTGTACCATTACATAATCTTGGTGCATCCAGATTTCTTAGGAGCATAATAGATGATCCATTTTCAGACGCAAGTTATGTGGTGGCATTCCAGAAGGTTCGAGTGAATTGAGAAACTCAGTTGGATACTGAACTACCATGTCGATATCTTTAACTGTATCAATTGATTTGTAAGATATAGCTTCACCAGGAAGTTGTTGCTGTATTTGTAGATTGATAGCATTTACATTGACGTTTTTCGGAGCTAGAATAGCACGTTCACATAACCATTTGTGATTCTTGTACTGAGTTTGAATGTTTGGAAACACTTTATTCTTGAGTTCTTCGACTGATTCAACGATATTGCAAAAGTTGTCTGAAATATTAATAAGTCCACTGACTGGGTCAGCAGGTATTTTGCCATTTCCAATTGCGAGAAGTTGTTCAGCGAAACGACCGGCAGATACGTCACCTCGTAAGTGCACTCTCATGTTAGTACTGAGTTTTAATGGTACAACATGTCTCCAAAGATACGAAGATTTCAAGCAAGCTTTTAGCTCATCAGCCATGGTACCCTTTGGAATAACTGGTAATGTTTGCCTAAAATCGCCAGCAATAAGTACAACTACTCCACCCATATTCTTTCCATTGTTACGAAGATCTTGTAAAGTATGGTTCAAAGCTTCTAATGCATACCTATGAGCCATTGTGCACTCGTCCCATACAATAAGTTCACATTCTTGCAGAACCTTTGCTTCGCCAGTTCCTTTGGTAATACTACAGACATGAGTTTGATTTTCCAAAAACTTAAGAGGTAACTTTAATGTCGAGTGCGCAGTACGACCACCGTGAAGCAGCGTAGCAGCGATACCGGAAGAGGCGACCGCAATCGCAATCTTTGACTGATGCCGGATTTTAGCCAATAACAAATTAATGACAAATGTCTTCCCTGTTCCACCAGGTGCATCAAGGAAGATTATTCCACCAGCTTTCTTCTCGATCTGATCCAAAATCGCATTGTATGCAGCTTTCTGATCCGGCACCAACAGTGGCTCATTTGCTGTTATATAAGCATCCAACTCTTTCACATCATAACTTGTTTCTCTGAGCATTGCACTGTTTAATCGATCACCCGAATTTCGTTGAGGAGTTGGGAGCTCTAATTTCTCAAGTTCTTTGCCACCCATCTCTAAAACTTTATTTTCAATAATAATCAGTGCTTGATTAAACATATCTGGTGTATAATCCAAATTAATTCCAGGATTTTGCCTGCGAGCATTTCTCAGAATGTCTTCAGTCAAGCTTTCTTTGTACGACTCCCATAATTGTTTTGGATTGGATGGTCCACAAACAGCTAGTATAAGAGCAAATAGATTTCTTAATCTTGCTGGCAATTGAGCTGCAGCTGCTTCGGACATGGTGGCATCCCATTGCTGATCATCTTCCAGTAATCCATGTAATTGACATGCTTCACGAAATGTTGCACAGATCTGACCGTTTACAGTTCGAAGAGCTTCAAATGAAGTAGGGCCTCTGACCACATGAAGTAAGAGTCGTAGGAAAAAGCATTCGAAATTATTAGGATGCACAGTGTAAACACGACCCAACGCATCTCCTTCTCTAATGTCTGGATGACCAAGCACAGCAGTTCCTTGAACACGCCGCTTAAACACTTTTTCAGACGCGTTCCATGTGTAGTATTTTGGAACATCACAGTACAACAGCGTTTTGGCAAAGTCGTCTTTCTGGCAGAGTAAGAAAAATGCTGTTAGTGTTGTTCTTGGTGGTTCATTAACTTTCTCATGAACATTATCTTCGGTGAAATAAATGCGTTGACCATTTTCCAAATGAACAGCCAAATGAACAACGGTTGGATATCGTTCGTGAATTGGAAAATCCAAGATTCGCCAGACTGCCTCATTGCTACTGATGTATCTACCTAACTGGTAGTTACTAATTTCATCAACTGGTGCTCCATCTCTTCCCAAACCGAACACTGCCTGATCACTGCCCTTGTTGACATATTTGCATATGTATTTGATTGATTTTACCGAGTTGCAATATTCCACATTAATGTGGGCTTGAAAGACCCGAGAGAGTAGTGGACAATATGGCACAATCCACTTGTTGTCAATTTCGATTTCTTGAATGGAGTTATTAATTCTCATTTTGATTTTGGCTTTGATACCACCATCTTCTGAACTTCTTCTTCTATACGATGGATATCCATCATCACCAGTTTCTGTATCATGCAAAAGTTGTTTTGGATATCTTTTTGTACACTTTTTGTTTTCCATACACGGAGAGTTTGGATTAATACTTCCACATGGACCGTGAATCATAGTCTTGATAATTATTTCAAATAGTCGAGGATCTCGTTCAGGATCAGGTAATTCTGCGCTGATTACGCTATCTATTTGATCTGCTTTAATTTTGTTCTTCAGCCATATCAAAATATGGGCATGTGGTAGTCCTCTCTTTTGCCATTCAATAGAATACATCCAGCATCTTGGTGGCCCAAATACATGGCTTTTGGTAATAATGTTGACCAATTTAATGAGCTTTTGTCTGAACACTCTTGCTAATAGGTCATGACGATCAGAGG